CCCGCAGTTCCGGGCAGCTCAGCTCTCAGGATCGATGTGCCCTGGCCGGCACTCCACGGTCGCGGGGGTGGGCGGTGTTCCCCCACCCCAGGACCAGGGTGGCCGTGCTGGGGGTCAGGGGCTGGGGACGAGCATCCCCCGGGCAGGGCTGCAGGGGCAGCGCCGTGTCTCTGCTGGTGGCCACTGATCCTGCCTGGCTGTCACATGCTTGTCACATGCCTATCACGTGGTGGTAAAAACACAGCGTAAAAGGATTTTTTTGGGGGATTATTTGCGAGTGGGGTGTGGGTCAGGGTGGTGGTGGAGTTGCAGCAGCTGCTGGGAGCCTTATCTCTGCTCCTGGGTGCTGCTTATCAGGGACCCTTGTGGTGAGTGCTGCTGCTCCTCTCTGCTGCTGCCAGATAGCCCCTGGGAGCAAAAGTGTGTCCCAGGTGGGAGCATGCAGTGCTGGCACAGGAGCTGTGCAGGGGGATGCACTGCTACACCGGCCCAGATTGGACTGCCGTCTTCACTTTTTTTAATCCAAAAGCGTCAAAACCTCCCACTGCAGCCTAGTGCTGGTGTCTGGGGACTCTTGGGAAGGTGTGGAGCAGTGGTGTTTCTTCCCTGGACTCACAGCTGTGGTCTGGGCACAGAGTTCAGCATCCCATGGGGCTGAGCTGGCAGTGCTGGTGCTGCCAGGCTGGCACTGCTGCCCTCGTGCCTGGCTGTCCCTGAGCCAAGAACTTTGCTGTGGTTGACCACAGGCTCTGCCTGCATCTGTATCCTGCCTGCTGCTGGGTGCTGGTGGTTTGTGAGCTGCCTGTGCTGTGCTGGTCCTGCCCCAAGCAGGTTTAGGGGTCACATGTGTGGCACTCCTTGTTAGATGATCTCTGTCTGTGGTCTGTGGGTCATTCCCACCTAAGAGTGTTCAGCAAAGCCCATTCCCTGCACCCCATGATGCCACCCCACCCAAGCCCCAGTGGGATTTGCTTAGATATTAGGGAAAGGCTCTTCCCCCAGAGGATGTTTGGGCACTGAACAGCTCCCCAGGGCAATTGTCACAGCCCCAAGCCTGACAGAGCTCAAGGACTGTTTGATCAACACTCTCAGGCACATGGTGGATTGCTGGGGGTCCTGTGCATGGCAGGAGTTGTAATGAATCCTTGTGGGTCCCTCCCAACTCAGGATGTTCTATGAATGCCATCCTGGAGGTCACTCAGGGATATCACAGAGCAGGAACAAAGCCTAATGTGGCATTGGATGGGTTGTGTTGGACCCTGTCCCTTCCCAACCATTGCTCTAGGTCCTCCTTGGCTCTGTTTGGGGCAAAAAGCCAAATTCTTGGTGCTTCTTCCAGGGCTGGTGCTGAGCTGTGCTGCACGTGGCTGAGAGGGGTGAGCAGTCCTGGGCTTGTGGCTGCTGGACTCTGGAGCTGTGTCCTTCTTCTCTCTACCAAATGCTATGCTGCCAGCCAGGAAGCAGAGGCACAAGCCAGGCCACCAACAGGTGTTGTGGCCTCCTGGTGCCATCTCCTGGAGCAAGGTGGAGATAATGGCAGGGAAATAGCCTTTCCACCCCAGTAATGAGCCATGGCCACCTTTTCCACAGGCTTTCCTCTGGAAACAGCAGTGCAATGCAGGCAGGAACCAGCCTATCCTGCCTGCTGCTGCCTGCCCTGCCCTGCCCTGCCCTGCCTGGGCTGGCATCCAGGGCTCTGCCAGCTTCTCCCAGGAGGCCTCAGCCACGTGCTGGAGGCTCGTGCCAGGTCATGGGGACAGGACAAGACTGAGAGTGTCCTGTGGGCAGCAGAGCCTGAGTGCCATTCTGCTCCTGGGGCTTCAGGGTGGTGCAGCCCTAGGTGGGCTTGGAGAAGCAGTGCTGAGGTTGGGCAGGGGCTTCTGGTCCCCAGGGGGTGACACAGGGGACCCCCCCCCCTCCATAGCAGAGGTGGTTGTAGTGGTCCCCTGGCAGCACTGGAAATAGGCTGGAGTTGTGCCAACATGGGGAGGGACAATCAAGTATTGTCAGACACTGTTCAAGCTCTGCCGTGCAGCACGTGGACTTGGCTTCCTCTAGGGATTCCTTCTGTGGACACATGAGACCTGCCCCAGTGTGGGATCATCATCCAGCCTGGCCAATCCTGCTCCCAGAGTCACCACCTCCCCTTCTTCTGCTCCCAGTGCTCTTGCCAACCCTACCCAGGATCACAGGGTGGCTTGTTTAGATTGTAGCTCTCTAAGGAGGTCCTGTGGTGGTCCTAGGCTGGTGTGTGCTGGCAACTCATGCATGGAGCAGGTTGAAGAACTATTCAGCCAAGAATTTTGCTTTATTCCACCACCCATAGCTTCAGACTGGACTTATGTGACTAGGAATTTTCTCCTTGGATGTAGTAATTCAGGGACAGCTTCTCCTTGGTCCCTCATCCCCTTTCCCAGGCCCATTTGCTGATGAGCAAAGCAAACACACTGTGCTGCTGACACTCTCTGGGTAACCTCCAGGGCCAAATGGATTATTTCTGACAGCAGGGCCTTTGTGCTGCTCCTGAGATGGTTTATTTAGCCTGATCCAATATTTCCTAAAAGCCTCTCGCTGCTGTGTCAGCTGGATTACCCTTCCCAGCCATCCAGCAGGCTGTGGTGAGTCCTCAAAACCTGCTTTGGGGGAGTGTTAGCTCCCAGGTCCTGAGCAAAAAGTGCTAAGCTCCCAGGTCCTGACCTCCTGGTGCCTTGAGGTCACTCCACTCTGGATACAACTTGCCAGGAGCATTTGGGCAGCACCTGGAGATGGGATTCTGCTCTGGGAGGCTTGCTGTTGGTTTGCAGAAGGCATGGCCAGGTTCAGTGACACTTGGTGGCTGAGGGAATGGCTTTGCTGACCAAGACTAACACTGCAAAAGGAGCAGCTGATAGCCAGGAAGAAGCTATTTCTTCAGCTGGAAGGAGCTTCCTTTATTGTGCTTGATGCTGAAGAACAAAGAGAGCACCGTGGCACTGCTTTGGATGCCCCCCTGGGGACCAAGGAAGGGCTGGGGCAGTCATGCAGGAGGAATGCTGCTGGGAAGGGTGTGTTTGTCTTTGGGAGCACCAAACATTCCAGCTCCAAGGGTGCTGTTTCCTGATTGAGCTGTGTGTGCCTTTGCTCCAGGAGGTTTTGCTGCAGGCCACTTGTTGGCCTCAAGATGTGCCCTGGACTCAGAGCTGTCCTCTGCTGCAGCCTGGAGCTGACCACAGGTCTCATGTCTCTGGGTGTCCTCAAGTCACAGCAGTGCCCAGCTGAAGCCATCCCCTGCTCCAAGGGGACCTTCCACCTGCTGAGGGCTTTGCTGGCACATCCTGTCCCTGGATGTATGACCTCTCCTCCCTTTCTTCCACCTGCTGTATTTGGGGCCAGAAAGCTGCTTTGCCTGTCTTCAAGGGGCAACATCAGGGAGCAGAGCCTGCTAGATGTGATGCCTCCTAGATGTGGTGCTGCTGCTCCCCATGAGCTCTGTCTGCTCCTGCCCCAGTTCTCCCCAGGCTTTGTGGCACTTGGAGCAATGTGGAGCTGTTCTTGGCTCCTGGAAGCTGGAGAAAACTGCTTTTTTCCTCTTGTTTATGCTTCCAGCAGCCCTTAATCCCTGTCACAGGATTTCCATGCGGGAGAACATGTCCTGGAACCATGCCACGGGCTCTCTTGTCCAAGCCCACTGGCTCTGGACAGGTGGCTTTGTTGTGCTTCCCCTGTGTTGGGCACAGCCAGTCGTGGGACAGTGACACCAAGGCAGAGACCTCCTGGAGGAGATGATTCTGCTGTCACTCAGGGCTGCCATCCCGGGGCCTTGGCCCTGTTCCTGGGTGTGAGACCCTAGGTCTGTGGCTGGGTTTAGGGTGTCTGCAAGAAGGCTTAGCTGCTCAAGTTCAGGGAGGATCTTATGACTTGGTCAAAGTCAGAGGACTGTCAGAGCCTTGTTAGCTCCATGGCAAAGAGCTTGGGCTTAAAATTACATCCGAGGTCAGCTGGAGTTGAAATTGAGATGTTTGTGAGCTGGTGGCTGATGCCAAGGCACAGAGGAGCTCAGGGCAGCATGGCACCCTCAACTTGATGCTCTCTGAGTCTGGAGAAGCTCTATGCTTCGTGGTCTGGCTCTTGGTGCTGGGGAGGCATTGGGTTGAGGCTTGGTGCCACCACAGAGCAAGGACCATGGGCTGGTTGATGATGGAGCATCCACCCTTTGCCATGGTGTGGGCTGTTGGAGGGCAGCTCTGGACCCTGGGACAGAACATCCTCCCTGTGCTGCCTCAGAGCCTCCAGGTAACTCTTTACTGGACAGATGGTGAAGTCCTGTTCCCTCCCACAAGTGGGTTTGGGCTGTCTGACCTGCCGCTGGATCCCATCAGCAATGGGATGGCGAGGGAAGAGCTCGCCCAGCACCAGGATGGTGGCATGGGAGCCTCAGAGCTGCCCTGGCCACCAGCATGGGGTTGCAGGAGGTTGCTGACCTGGCCCTTATCTTCCGTGTTTCTCTTCTTAGCTCCCGCACCTCTGCAGCCGAGAAGGAGATGGGAGGTGAGTGACAGGAGATAGCCTCAAGGGCCAGCTGATCCGGGCACTGGATGAGGACCAGTTTGGTTCCTGGACAATCCTGCTCCTCAGCAAAGGCTCAGCCTCTGCTCAGGCATGGAGCAGGCAGGGCATGTGGCAGCCCTGGGGCTCTTCTGAGGTCCAAGCCAGAGCTCCTCTCCCCTGCACCCACAGCAGAAGCTCCTGGGGAGGCTATAGGAGCTCAGTGAGGCTCCATGTCCCATCTCCAACCTCTTCTACCCCAGGAGCAGGACAAAGGGAGCAGCAATCCCGAGCTCATCAGGGACTTGGGGATCACCGTAGTGGAGTCACTGGTGCCCACACATACTTCTATGCCGATGAGGCCAAGTGTGATCAGCACATGGAGACTTTCCTCCACTGCATTGATGCCTCAAGTGAGTGTTCCACATGTCCTGGGCAACCCCTCAGTCCCACCACTGCTGTGTCTGGGGTACCTCCCTCCTGCCCAGTGTCCTGCTGTTGGGCTGACTCTGTCCTTGTGGCTCCGTCCAGGTGGCAGCTCTGTGGATGGTTTCTCTGCCATCAAGCTGACAGCACTGGCCAGACCTCAGTTCCTGGTGAGTGCCAGGGGCAGAGCCAGGGCCACTGGGGATGCTTCTGCTGGGACATCACACTTGCTGCAGTGGCACCTCTACTGAGGGCAGAGGGGAGTGGGCACTAACAGGCTGGGGTCATACTGGGAACATACTGGGGGGAATTGGGATACACTGAAAGCACCTTGGGCCATGCAGAATCTACTTGGGGGGGTCTGTAACAATACTGGGGGTGATTTGGAACACACTGAGAGCAACTGGGACCATGCTGGGCGAGACTGGGATCCTACTGAGCACACCTGGGACAAAACTGAGGGTGACTGGAAATGGTTGGGGGAAACTGAGATCCTACTGGGAGCACCTGGGACAGTGCTGGGGGTGACTGGGAATGGCTGGGGGCAACCGGGATTCATGCTACAAGCAGCTTAGGACCATGCTGTGGGAGACTGGGATCATACTGGGCCTCATACTGGGATCTTACTTGGAATAAGATCCTTTTTGTGTGTGCACTCAAGCCCCTTGGACCCCCCACCTCAGTGTTTGGGGACACATAAAGAGCTCAGAAGCTTAAAGGTCCCATGATGAGGGTGTAGGGTGGGCCGAGGTGTCCTGCTCTAAGCTCAGCATCTACCTCAGGCTGGCTATGACTTTGCAGAGCCCTGGCATGACAGGAGGCTCCAGCCTGGCTGTCTCACCTGGAACTCTGTCCCCACAGGTGAGGTTCTCTGAGGTGCTGGTGAAGTGGAAGAGGTTCTTCCACCAAATGGCTGCAGAGCAGGGCCAGGCTGGGCGGGCAGTGCTGGACATGAAGCTGGAGGTGGAGAAGCTGCAGGTGAGGCTGGTGATGCCCAAGGGAAAAGGCTGTGCTGCTGGGGATGTGCTGCTGGAGGTCCTGGAGCAGCTCTGAGCTGTGCCACCTCAAGCAGACAGATCCCTGTAGCCCCTGGTGCTCTTTTTGGTGGCAGGAGGCCCTGGCCAACCTCGGTGTGGTGACCAAGACAGAGAGCCAGCAGTGGTTCATGGGCGAGAACCTGGGCACGAGTGGGTAAGCTGTCTGGGGCCTGGGGGTGCTGCAGGGTGGGGACACTGGAGGACCTTGTCCCTGTCCCTGAGGCAGCAGCAAGGTGAGGTCTCCAAAGGTCAGTGCTGGCTCAGCACAGCAACCAAGCATAGGAGAGGTTTGAGTGGAGATGCCAGGACAGGTCAGCGTGGCACATGCTGCCCACCTTGCTTGCTGGTGGGGGTTGGGAGCTGGTAGAGACCCTTCTGCTCCTGCAAGACACCAGTAAGGACCTGTCTCTCTGCTCCCAGCACTGTGGACCTGCTGGACTGGAACAGCCTGATCAACAGCTGCACCAAGCTCTCCAAGCCTCTGCTCATCCCCAACAGGCAGGTGGGTACCCCTGGGGTGGTCCTACACTCCACAGGGAGTTTGGGGGAGCAGGGTGTGTGTCCCAGGCTCTTCCCAGCAAGTTATTGGCAGCATCTGTGCTGCTGAGGCCTGGCTGTGCTGTGGCCACCATGGACAGCCACCAGGCTGGCAGGATGGGCACCTGGCTGGTGGGTGCTGGGTTGGGCTCTCTCTGGAGCCCATCATGGGCAGAGTTGGGTGCAGACAGGGTGCCACAAGCTGTTCTCATTTCAGACTGGGCAGCTTGAGCCTCTGCTCTCACGCTTCAGTGAGGAGGAGGAGCAGCAGCTGAAGCGAGTGATGCAGCGCATGGATGTCCTCGCCAAGGTGAGGAGGTGCTGGAGGGGGAGCCACAGAGGGGGAGCCATACAGCAGGCAGCTCCATGAAGCCAACCTGTGTGTCATCCACCCTCCAGAGAGCCATGGAGAAGGGGGTGAGGCTGATGGTGGATGCAGAGCAGAGCTACTTCCAGCCTGCCATCAGCCACCTGACCGTGGAGACACAGCGGCGCTTCAACAGGAACCAGCCCATCATCTTCAACACCTACCAGTGCTACCTGAAGGTGAGGTCTGCCACCTTCCAGCACCTCCTGGAGCAGCTGTATGGAGACCTCAGCTCCTGAAGCCATGACAATGCAATGGCACAGCTGCTGAGGTACAGGGCAGGGGTGGCAGTGGTGTGATGACCTTGTGGCATCTCTTCCACCTGGTCACAGGAGGCTTATGACAATGTGACAGTAGATGTGGAGCTGTCACGCAGGGAGGATTGGCACTTTGGCACCAAGCTGGTCCGTGGTGCCTACATGGAGCAGGAGCGGGAGAGGGCGGCTCAGATGGGCTATGAGGATCCCATCAACCCAACCTATGAGAAGACCAACGAAATGTACCACAGGTAGGGGGCAGCCCCAGACACACTGCTCTTCCACCCCAGTGGGCACAGGCATGAGAGGCCTCACCAGAGCCCTGTATTGCCTTGCAGGTGCCTGGACTATGTCCTGGAGGAGATCAAGCACAGCCACAAAGCCAGTGTGATGGTGGCATCCCACAATGAGGACACGGTGAAATTCACTCTGCGCAGGTGGGTGCTGGGGAGGCAGAACTTGGGGCTTAAGGGATGTGAGGGCCCAGCAGAGCTGTGGTGAGGTGTCCTGTCACCTGGGAGAGTCCTGGCTCCCATCTGGTGCTCAGAGCTTCAACTGGGCTTGGGGATGAGGCACAGTGTGCACAGCAGCTCCAGAGCTGCCCCAGCCCCAGCCCAGAGAGGGTTCCATCCAGTTCTACATCCCAACATCCATCTGGGATGTGGTCAGTGTCACGCTCTCTTATTTGGAGATGATCCCCACTCCTCTCATGGGACACACTGCTCTGGGTGTTCTCCACTGTCTCTGCTCACCCCTAATGCCCAGGCTTGTTTTGCAGGATGATGGAGCTTGGGATCCATCCCTCAGAGAAGAAGGTGTGCTTTGGTCAGCTGTTGGGCATGTGTGACCAGATCACCTTCCCCCTGGGTGAGTGATGGGTATAGGGGGGCTGGGCAGAGGTCCACCTGTCCCACCTGGACCCCTGGGGTCTTCCTGACTAGCTGCTATTGGGTTGGAAGGGAGGAAGGAAGGGAAGGAAGGAAGGAGCATAGAGCAGGATTGGCTGAGCACACTGCCTTGCTTTGGGGAGTGCTGTGACCCCTGTGTGCAGTCTGGGGAGCACATAGATGAGGATGTACATGGTGAATCACATCCATCTCCTGGAGTTCTCTGAGCCCATGGTGGCTGGGCAGGGAGATTCCCACTTTAGATTCTAAGCAGTGATCAGGGAGATTTAAGGTGGGGCAGAGACTGATCTTGGCAGCCAGCAACCACCTCTTGTAGCTCCTTGGTCTGGGGGTGTCACTTGGCTCCAAGAGATGTACACACTGAGTCCTGGACTGCCTGTCATCAGGGTGGCACCAGCCTCTTGTGTGACCTTGTCCTTGGTCAGCAGAGCAGTGGTCCCAGGGGCCTTGACAGAGGGACACACAAGATATTCCAGGGTCAAGGACTGATTCATATTTCCATAGTATGTTAAAGGGGTTAGAATGGACCTTGGAGATCATCCAGCCCCAACCCCCTACCCTGGGCAAGGACACCTCCCACCAGAACATGTGGCTCAAGGCTTGATCCAACCTGGCTTTGAACACTGCCAGGCTTGGGGCAGCCACAGCCTCCTTGGGCAACCTGTGCCAGTGTCTCACCACCCTCACAGGGAAAACTTCTGCCTAAGATCTCATCTCAATTTCCCTTTTGCAATATCTCCCCATTGCTCCTTGTGCTGTCCCTGCAGTTCCTACCCAAGAGTCCCTCTGCAGCTTCCCTGGAGCCCCTTCAGCTCCTGGCAGGTTGCTCTGAGGTCTCCACACAACCTTCTCTTCTCCAGGCTCAACAGCCCCAACTCTCTCAGCTTGTCCTCATAGGGAAGGTGCTCCAGTGCTCTGAGCAGCTTCGTGACCTTCTTTGGCCTTGGTCCAACACTTCCATGTCCTTCTGCTGTTAGGGACACAGAGCTGTGTGCAGTTCTGCTAGCAGGACTGACTCCCCTGCCTACACTGGTGTCCGGAGCAGAGTCCCAGGGCCAGGATACAGCCTGGGCAGTTGTCCAGTGTGGCCAGGCTCTGTCCTGGAGTTCCCTCTGCAGTTGGGCTTGGCCTGTCTGCAGCCTCCTCCAGTCATGCTGGAGGAATGTGTTAACTTGATGTT